ACTCCTACCTTATAAACATGGGTACTTGGATCTCCAACATTCCATATTCATCAAATACACCGTATCTGAGATGTGACCATTCGTGTACAAACTGTCGATCTATATATATATTAAACCAACTTATTTATAAATGCATCATACGTAACTAAGATATGCAAAATAAGACTGTGAGAAAATGTTATTTCTAAACATCTGTTTTGAATATTTCCGATCAAATCATGGTTCTGAGTTGTCGTCTTTCTATAAATTTTAAACTCTTGGTGTATGCTTCTAAATACTACTTGGATAAGGTATACGATATTTTAGTTTAATATATATATTCGTTTTTATTTGCGATTTCATGTCTAAAATTGTACCGGTTCATTTTTAGTTATTATTCTAAACATTTTCAGAACATTTTAAATAGAATACTTAGAACAAAACAACATTAACTTAATATCCTTAGGCAGAACATAACCTTTTTATTAACCTGCTTTCAAACTGCACAATAAGGGAAAACATTTTCGCTCTTATCTAGGTGTATGTTGAAGTGTAAAAATATTTGCTAATTCGAAATAAACACATTTTGTTATTTATTGATACTCCATAAATCCTTATATTAAACGTTAAAGATGTTTTAAGAATATAGATGACTAATCATATAATTTGTCATTGATAAAGTAAATCGTCTTTTATTATCTATGTTATCCATTCGTTCTAATTGGTTATTATTCTGCACTTGTTCATGATAAGGTAGCTTCGCATAACACGTGTTTGTTATAATTACTTCAGTAATTCCCATATTTAGCCTTTATTGTGTGATTATAATTCTACAACGAGATTCCCAGTCTAACAACAATAGTTTTACGCTTAAAATTTTAACAACCACAAATCAAACGCCTTCATTTAGTTCGTTTTTAAAATAATTATAAAACGATATATAAAAGGTTGATTTTTTTTCCTAACCTGGACTTCCATACACCTCAGTGGTGTTGCCGTGTAATTCCTTCAGAAATTCTGGTGTTAAATGAATGTATTCTCCGGGTTCCCCACATCCTCCTGGCTGAAGTGTATAGGGGTCGTTACCATACTCAGGGTTAGGTTTGTCCACTCTAACAGCCGCCGTGCTAAAAGGGTTGTTTACGATTCTCTCGTATTCAGGCTTACTCGACCACTTTGTTGGTACGACAATGGTCACTTCTTTAAAAAACACATGCCCTCTGCTGGCATCGTAAAGAAACTGAGAGGCGTTCGTGAAGAGCTCCTTTTATGAAAATCAGAAATATTACTAATTATTTATAACACAAATTGAGTGGTTTTATTAGAGATTTTTAACTCTTTCGAGATTATATAATTTCAGAAATATATTTTAAGTAAAATATAAATGAAATTCTGAAAAGCTTAAAAGCAACTATCTCAAGAACGTTTTATTAAAGTATTTCAAACTATAATATTTAAAATTCGTTTTCTTCAGAAAATTGGAAACGAATTAAAACATAGCACTTTACTAAATGAATATGCTTTGAAACAAGTTGGCACTTACACGCTTGCAGAATTAACAAAGATTGCCTCTAATGTTCAAAATTCTGTATCTCCCGTGCATAGTTAGTTTGCCCTGATATTTCAAAATCTCAATCATATCGCCTCTGGTTCTTTACTCTTTCAAAAGCATTACATGCACAAGTGTTTTTTTGTTTTTTTTTCATACTTAAAATGTTTCAAAATTATGGGTTGATTCTATTAAAAAGTAATAAAAAACATACATCTGTTCTGGAATTCAAGAATGTTTTGGAGTTGTTTGTACGTTGTACAAAGAGTATACGTAATAGAATTTTTAGTTGTATTTTGCTGTATACATGGAGAATTCGAAGCGTGTCTTTGCAACATCGACTCAGCAATTCCAAGCCTCAGATTCCAAGTTCAGGCACAGTAACTACTAGGTTACGCCTAACATGTCACTTTCTAAAAATTGTCTCTTTAATTCTTAAAAGTTTTAGTGAGAACTTACAGACAACCTACACATTCACATTATCATATGTACATAAACGTGCTAATAGAAATAATTCACATTTTTTTACCCATTATGGGTGAAAATGGCAACATTTTAAAACTCACCTCCAGATTATTTAGTATCTTCTCATCTTCTGGAACTGATTCATGTATAGCCACAACGACACCTTTGTACCCACCGTCCTCTAATGTTATCTTGGCTGATACCATATCAACTACCATGGTAAGTAAGATTAGCGACGTGAACAGACGAAAAAAACAATATAACTTCATATTGACTATAATCTGAAAAGGATTAAAAAAGGATAGAATAACTTTACAAAGTTTTATATGCACATCTAACACGCAAAACTATTGAAAGACACTTTCAATTTGTCAGTGTTTTACTGTTTACCAGTTTTCGACTTTACAGTTTTTCTAATGAGCTTTGTTTTTCTGAAGAACTGGGATAGTAAACTTTTATGTTTTACACTAACGTCATCTGCAGTTAGTAAATTTAAAAACAGATTCTGTTTAAGAATCCTTGACTAAACGAAACACTACTACCTAATTACAAAATGTTCTACAGTTAGGTAGTGTTCTTACAATTAACTGAATTTCGAATTTGAATCTGTAATCGATTCCAGATTCAATAATCGATTAATAGTTTTTATACAATTTCAAATTCATTTATGTGGTAAGTTCAGTTATATAGCTTTGAGAGTGAGCACTTATCGACGCATACTTTCAGACTGCGCAGCACGAGCTTCCTGGCCTTAATATCCATCAATTACAGTAAAGGATCCAGGCAGAGGATCCAAAGGGTCCAGACCCCCTCCATTACAACGCAAAAACAAAACAAAATTGAAGGAAACAGTAAAACAGAGATTCAAGTTCCAGATATTTTATATTTAATCGTTTTCTTGGATCAGCTATGCCTCGTTACTGTAAGGAAAGGAGACCTAAACCCTCTGTAAGGTGTAAAATGTAAAAGATGGCTGTAAAGGATCTTTTCTTCCAAAATACTATGATCGAATTAAAACCAACCACAGGTCTTTGAAGTAGCCACTTTCAATGTTATGACTATCAAACATTCAATCATTAGCCTATCAATGAACAGTGCTTGATATAACTTGATTCCGAGGCTCATTTCAAGATCCCGATTCTAACAGTCAGTTTCGCAAATGAAAGAAAAGATGTTTTCCATGGTAGATGAAAGTATTGGTCATTGCAAATTTCTCAATGGAAGTAACTGGCAAAAATCAATGGAAAGTGCCAAGAATGGATTTATTTTTCAAATTTCAAAAATTCTTTAGCTTCTCAAAGGAAGCAAACCCCTATCAATACCCATTCATTTGGACCTCCCTTTTGAAAATCCTGAATCCACCACTAAACACCCTTCCAATCACCAATTCTTTGCCTTTTGTTGCTAATAAAAGTTGAATTTCCCCAAACCATCTTCTTACGAATAATCCTAAGTCCTCTGATAATAATTTGTTTCGGAGTCAACAATATGTTTAAGACCAAAAGATTAAACAGTAATTAGTAAACACTCCTTTTCTTTTACACTATACACTACCTTTTAATACGCCCCCCCCAGTGGCACAGCGGTATGTCTGCGTACTTTACAACGCTAGAATCCGGGTTTCGATACCTGTGGTGGGCAGAGCACAGATAGCCCATTGTGTAGCTTTGTGCTTAATTACAAACAAATAAACAAAACCTTTTAATACTTATCACATATTGTGCATGAAAATGTTCCAGAAAACTTGCTTTATGCACTGATTAGGAACCAGAGTATTTTTAATAAATTCAGTCTAAATTATATTCTTCGTAAAAAGACCACAAAACGTTTAGCACAGGTTAATAATTTGTAATACACGAGACTTTGATTAGGTCTAGTTAATAAAACAGGCAATGTTCGCTTGACTTTCACTCACACTGCGATGCTACATGCTCGAGTTTCTCTATTGTCACTGTTGTGTTCGATCCTCAAAAATCAAATGTGTGAAAATATTTTGACTTGAATAATGACAAGAAGAAGAAAGCGTGTGTGTGCTTTGCAAGGTTTCACGCCCCTACTTTGTTATAATTACAAACATAAGAAATCATCACAAGCATGTCCACAAGAAAACTAGGCCAACTGAACGTCAGATATCACTGTTTAAGCACAGAAAATCTACAATGACACTGGGGCACGGGAAATACCAGGCCATCACCATATCGATGGCTGTCATTACAGCCTTAAATCTCCATTCCTAGTAAGTGGCAGAGGATTCAAAAACTTTTATCGTCAACTCAATCTAGACTTCAAGGTCTCTGAAGATCCTGAAGTATGTGTAGCTTGAGTATAAGAAGACCAAGGAGATCGCTGATTTAGAAAGTCAAACTGTGGCATTGACAACAGATCTCAGAAGAGTGTGGCAACTGAAAGCCTACGTCATCATTGCATGTCATTATAGGACCAATGACTGGATGCTGAAGAACGGGGCTCTTGCTACACGCTAGATCAATGAACGAACATTGTTGTGCACAGTGCCAAATATATGAAGGGACATATAATTTCAGCAATATGAACATTGGAAATTTGTCTGCCACAGCTCAGATGCTTTTCTCACTTGCTGCAGCTGGTCATCAATGATGGGTTGAAACAACCATTGCAAAAACAATTTCAGTTACTAAACACCTTGTAGGCCACATTAACCACCCTACACTTACCACAAAAATCTTCAAAGACCATTACAAGAAGATTAATAGAAAACAACTCTTCAGTCTTATCCAAGATGCCTTAACACGATGGAACTTAAATGGCATCATTGTATACCATAGTTCATGATGACTATATAACAAAGCTCTCGGGAAGTGCAATGATATATTTACTGGAAAATGTATGGCAAATAATAGAAGTTGTGCCAGTGTTAGAGCTGTTCAACTTTTGACAAAAGACAGAGAGCCTACATCTGGAACAGTCTATTCAATCCCGGGGTGCATTATACATGACCTAAGCCCTGATGGAATCGAGTCTTTCCCTGTTGCAGAGATGAAGGTTAGGATACAAGAGATCATCACGTCACGATTCAAGGTAGATGCCAGTGGAGAACCTGACATTAGTGTGCTCTAAGATATACTAGCCCTTGTAGCAGTCATGGATTCTCGCTCCATATCTCTATGATTTATGTCAGCAGATAAAAGAAAATTGGTCATTTGTTTGTTAGAGGCAGCAAGCTTGCAACGTGACATAAGTTGTCAGACTTTCAAGCTGTTTTTAATACACATGAATAATTGGTTTACAATGTCATATTCATTGTGTACATATGCACAAATACTTATAACTGGCTAAACAGAATAGTATTTTGTAGACTTGCCATACCTATATACATATTACAGCTTATAATAATTTGTTGTATATGAAGTAATTTTAATTTCCATATTTTTTAAAGGCTATAGCATATTTCAGACATCAGTGTTACATCAGACGATACTGAGGATCCTAAGCCAAAAAAGCGACTACCAGACGTCATTTCTGCAGGAAATCATTCTGAAACTGCAGTTGATAAGGAGTTTGACACCTATCTTGCAGAGCCAGTGTCCGCCACTGATCCTCTAAAATGGTGGTAAAATAATGAAGGAAAATTTCCCAGGGATACTTCACTTGCAAGGTACTACCTTTCCCAGGGATACTTCACTTGCGAGGCACTACCTCTCCCAGGGATACTTCACTTGCGAGGTACTACCTTTCCCAGGGATACTTCACTTGCGAGATACTACCTTTTCCAGGGATACTTCACATGCGAGGCACTACCTCTCCCAGGGTTACTTCACTTGCTAGTCACTACTTTTCCCAGGGTTACTTCACTTGCGAGACACTACCTATTCCAGGGTTACTTCACTTGCAAGTCACTACCTTTTCCTTTCCGCATCAGGAATAAGTAATGAGCGAAGTTTATCGACTGTTTGGCTTACTATCTCCAAGCTGTGGTCATGTCTGGACTCAGACAATGTGGACAAACTGACATTTCTGCAACACAATTATTCATTACCGGAAGCCATGAACACCTATTAAGACCAGCAGGCAGAGGAACCAGAATGTGCCAGCAGATCTAAGATATTAAACGATTTCATGATTTAATATTTTAGTAGTCTGTTTCAGGTAATTCTAGGTTATTACATGTTATATATCATTTTCCTGAGCTATGACATTGTACTACAGTATGTTAGGCGTGGTAATTCTATTAAAACCGTTGTTAAAATCGCAATTTTTTTATTGGCAAGAGGATTGCTCTTTATTATGGAATATGTTGTTCATATTGATACAAAACATCCGTAATCTGTCAAGTAGACCGCAAATATTCGCGAAATAAAAGACTGTGAGTAAACATATTATACTCCCAACTGGCCTCGATCCCCTTGAATCCTATTAATCCGTTACGATTTGATTATAAAACACCGATTAACCGGTTATAGATTCCTGCATCCGTGAGAGCCCTACAATTAAGTTTTTGTTAATTAGTTAGTTTTAGAATTTCACGCAAAGTTACACAAGAGTTATTTGCGTATAACCGTTTCTAATTTCGAACTACTAGACCAGAGGGAAAGAAGCTAATTAAAAGCACACACCGTCATCTCTTATCTGAGCGAATGGCAGGATTTGCCCGTCTCTTCATAACACACACACACACACACACAGAGCCCCAAATTACATAGCGCGTTTTTGTGGCAATGAGTCGCGAATCATGAACCCAGTCCAAGCACAATGAGTAAAACGTTATGTCTAGCATACTCAAATTGATAGAATTAAGACAGTTGTTCCAGAAAAAAAAAATGCTGGATGAGCTACACTTAATAAGCATCGGATTTATTTTTAAAGAACGTTGAACAGAATTATGCATATTGAATTTTAGGATCATCAAATAAAGTTATTCATTGGATTTAGGTCTGCTGCTTGGCGTTATTTGAGAGAGTTTTTTAATGATTATTTGTTGAAAATGTTAGTTTGTTTGAATTTATGCACAAAGCTACACAATAGGCTATCTGTGCTCTGCCCACCACGAGTATCGAAACCCGGTTTCTAACGTTGTAAGTCCGCAGACATACCGCTGTGCCAATGGGGGGCTGTTGAAAATGTATATCTTTAGTTTGTTTGCTGAATTTCGCTTAAAGTCACTCGAGGGCTATCTGCGTTAGCCGTTGCTAATTTAAAAGTAATAAACTAGATGGAAGGCAGACAGTCAGTACCATCCATCGCCAACTCTTGGCCTATTCTTTATTAATGAAAAGTGCGATTGACCGGCTGAAAGGGCTTGGACACTCGCTGACAGGATTCGGGTCCGTGACCCACAAATTGCGAGTCGAGCAGCTTAACCATCAGGCTATGCTATACCTTTAGAAGACTCAGACGTTATGTGGACATTTAAATGTAAATATATTTTCTAGCAACAGTTTGAAACATAATTATAGACCTTACCTACTTTCTTTCCCTTTCACAAAACTCTGTTTTCAATATTCGAAGCAGAAAGGTTTAAAAACTCCTTCCGTAATCACCACACGTTTAAGCAACTCGAATGTTACGTTATACAGTTTAGATTACTTCGCACTAGCAGGTTTATATAGTTTCTGTTAAACACATTTTTATCTGTTGCGCTGACGTCAAATTTTCTTGCTGATTGCAGACTTCCTGTGCAAGCTTTAACGTCACATTTACAGTAATAATCTGCCTATCACGGTTTGACTTGAGTACTGACCAATAAAAGCTGTTTAAGATAGCATTGTGTTTGTTTTTCTTGTTCGCAATGTGACAGTTCCGATTGATAACTTTAAAATGAAGAAATCGAACCGAAGGTGTAATAAGACTCAACGGAAGTTGAAATGATTAATTTGGTTTGGTTTCTTGTTCTTTTAGAACAAAGCCACATTGAGCTATATACTGTGTCCACCACGGGGAACCGAACCCCGAATTTTATCGTTATAAGTCCGTAGACTTACCCCTGTCCCACCGGTGGACTTGAAGTGATTAAACTTCCAGTAAAGGTTTATTCTCGTAAACCTTCATTTGATTCTTTTTATGTCTACAGTTAAACAGTAATTTGTTGTTGTTTTCTGAATGTACACTCTAAACTTAATATAAATTAGAATAGTGGGTATTTAATCTAAAATAATAAATCAAAATATTAACAAAACAAATGAGTTACAATAAATATGTAAAGGCATTGAGTAACAGGAAGAGTTATGAAATCAAACAGACGCTATCGTCAATTTATAAATCATTGATTAGTAAATTTTGAATCATTTTGTTTTGTCATTTGTTTATCCAGTTTAAAAACGTAAATAAAGATGCGGAAATGGATTTGCTCATATTATAATTACTGTATTTTTATAGTCAAGCAATTAGCTTTCAAACATACGACGCTGAAATCCAGAGCTCCATTTCCCGTGATACTCACAAGGTATGAGAACTGTCTAATTCACTTTTATCGATAACTGTTCTGGCATGGCCTGATGGTTAGGACGCTCGACTCGCAATCTACAGGACGTAAGTTTTAATTTCCATCACTCCGAACATGCTCGCCCTTTCAGTTGTGGGAGCGTTATAACGTGACGATCAATCCCACTTTTCGTTGGTAAAAAGTAGCCGAAGAGTTGGTGGTGGGTGGTGATGACTAGCTGCCCTCTCTCTAGCAATAATTTGAGTAATAATCATAACGTGGAAAAGAAAGAAGGTTGTCGTTCCCATGTGCGAGCTATGAGTAAATTAATGAGGTTGGACAACATATTGTTTTCTTTTAATCACTCTTTTTTATATAAATAAAGCTATTACTAAATACATTTCCCCTTTTCAATAAAGTTTTCAGTGAAATAAGACAAAAAAATACTCCGATTAATTCTGAAACACAAGCATCCCCCGGTGATTTTACATTACAGTTCTAAAATCACTAGCGAAAGGGCGTCTCAATCGAAACGTAGTGAATATTAAAACATCTATTTCGCATTAGCCATTTTTCGTGGTATCAGTTTTTCTATTTTTTTTTTTTGTTTTCGGTTTTATATTTTCACTTTAGATAGCTTTATTTAAAAAAAATACAACTTTTTTATTATAATATTCTGAAGTTGAAACTTAAAAGAGAACGGGGGAACACTCCTCCCCAAATCAGTAGAACCTGTGTTGTTATTTTTATTTACACATACTTCTTAATAACTTATAACAAAACCTAGACCAGAGCACGCTCGTACTAACAATTCACTTCGTTTGACACACAAATTAAGAAACATTACACTCTTGTGGTTATAAACATTGCCGTCAGACGTTCATATCCAGAAATACAAGATCACATAAAAGCCTTTTTCTTTTCTTTTTTACTAGAGCTGAAACGGAATTTTCGCACCTGAAGACAGTATAGAATACAATACTTCTGCTTCATTATATCATATAAGTATATATTGTGGTAAATGTCTTTTATCAAAAAAATACTGCTGCTTATTATACCATATATATATACTGTGGCAATGTGTTTTATCAATTCCATTAGGTGTCTATCAAACAATAAGATACCGTAAAGACTGAAGTAGGGACTTGCGTCATGGCTTTATGCGAAGAATCGTCCAACGACTACCTCTTCCAGCTATAACACATTAGCTTACCCATTTATCACCTTAACCACACTATTATACAGATAACTCCGATATATTACTTTTTGTCACACGCCTGTGCATTTAACCCGAAATCACATACGTCTTGAAGTTCCCCTTGTAACAGAGTTTATGCATCGGGTTTGCTTCGCACAAACCTTAATTTTTCTGTAATATTTATGTGCAGTTTTTTTTACATATGCAAATTTATAAACTTTGGGCTATTGCACTTAGGCCTAATAATAACATGAACCAGAAATATTGTAGATCAATAGGTACATTTTTCAAAAATAACACAGTAAAGTCCCAAAACAAAAGATAAACGTGATAATAAAAACTTAAACTGTTTACATCAAAGTGCAAAAAAATTCACTGTTTTAATGATGTCCTGTAATGCTTTAGGTTTTAAACCCTAATCTTACAGTGGATTAAGTTATTCAAAACTTAGATTCGAGGAAATAAGTGCGCTGCTTGTGACATGCTCGAATGAAGAGGTAAATAGAAATGACAAAAGTTTCACTCAAGTGTACGGAAGATGAGATGAGGTCAATACTTTGGTCAAACATCCCTCGTCAAGATAACTGAGAAGGTTCCTTAAACAAATTTTCTTACCGTCACTTATACGAAAGGTGAGAAAAAAGTTTCTTATGCCAACAACTACTACAAGTATGTGTTACACCAACAACAAGTGTCATCATTTATGTGTTAAAGAGGAAGATAATTTAATTCAATATAAAATACACAGTCATTGAGAATTATAATGTCTCCTGCTGGGTTCCAAAAACCAAGAGAGTTTAAGCATTCAGGAAGAAGCATTGAGAATTAGTCATTCTCGTTATTGTTACAATTATTGTTATAATGAGTCATCACAACACCGGTAGAGCAAAGTGTACACGATTTCCTTTCAAATCTGGCCAGTCAGAAGCATGTCATGTAGCAACACAAGAAGACTAAGTCCTTATATAGTGGTCATAATTTTAAATGTCTTGCTCAGGAAAGTGTCGTGTTTGTTAATTAGATATACCGGAAAAGGAACTTGAATAAGAAAATTGGTTTGTTTAGAATTACTCGCAAAACTACATACGGACTATTTGCGCTAGACGCCCCTAATTTAGCAGTGATAGACTAGGGGGAAGATAAATAGTCAACACCACCCACCGCCAACTCTTGGGCTATTCTTTTATCAACGAATAGTGGGATTGGCCGTCATATTATAATGCCATCGGGAGTGAAAGGGTGAGCATTCGGGTGACTTGGATTCTAACCCACGATCCTCAGATTGCGAGTCAAACGCCTTAACCGCCAAGCTATGCCAGGTCCAAAGAGTAAAGAAATTATGATTAGGTTTTCTTTATTAGGAACTACGTTCAAGACATTGTGGAGAGAATGCATGGCCCAGTTGCAGTTACTAAAATATTATATCCTTTTATAGAGACTATCGGATCAGTGGTATTATTAATGACGTAACTATAGAATTATCAAAAAGATACAGAAAGTTTCTTCAGAATTATAAGAATATAAATCTTCGAGTAGCTTTATCAGGGGATCTGGGCGTGGCCCGTTATTTAGCGTAGCTTAGTTATCATGGTTCGCGTCCCGTTGCCGCACTTTGAGGCCGTTGGTGAGATATAAAAGACATTGGTAAGATCCTTTTAATCGTTAGACAAGAGTTGGTGGTGGATGCTGTTGACGAGTTGCCTTCCCCCTAGTCTGTCAGATCAAAACTAGGAACGGCTATGTATAGATAACTTTCTGTAGCTTCGCGCGATAAGCCTAAAAAAACCATAAGATTTTTGTTCTTTTTTTTTATCCAGTATCTTTGCTTTGTTTGTGGTAGCCGTTTCTTGAAACATAATTAGGTATCGCTGATGTGTCTGTATAACAGTCTTTGATGTTCCCTGCGTCTTACTGATAGTGATCACCGTGTCTCTATGATATACTGTTTATTACATGCACAGTGTGTGATATATATCTAATTTTTTGACGAAATTTAGAGACTTGCGATTTCACTGTAGTAATTGTATCTGATAAGGTATAATATTTTTTAAAACTACTGTAATGTTTAATATATGTAATATTCTTCTAAGTTTTCCCTGAAGCCCTGCATGCCGAAGAAAAATAAGAGATCCCATTCATATAATTGCTGCTTAATTCATGTGATTTTGGGATCGAAACCCGTCACCAAACCTGCTCGTCCTTTCTGCCGTTGAAGGAGGGCGTTATTATGTGACGGTCAATCCCACTATTCGTTGGTTAAGAGTAGTCCAAGAGTTGGCGGTGGGAGGTGTTGACTAGCTACCTTCTCTAGCCTGTCACTTCAAAAGTAAGAATGGCTAGCATAGATTGCCCTTGAGTAATTGTGCAAAATTTAACAAAAAAAACAACAACAACAAAAGCATTTGATTTATCCATAGTGTAAACCTGTTCATTGTGTTTAGTGCATCATTTTTGTCGAAATAATCGATGTTCTTGAAAACATTCTCAAGATATCTAAGTTCGTTATTCGAGATGTAATGAAAAACATTCATTCTTGGCTCTAGGTTCAAGTATTTGAATAATTCCAGTTTTGACAAGAAGTGGATGATGTGATCAAAAGTTTAAATATTTAACTGAATGAGCGTGCTTGAAATATACTGCAGTAGTCAGATTTCGTAGATTCCTGATCCAAAGCATCAAGTAATATAAAAGTATTCTTGATACTAAGTTATATAGAAAATATTATATTTTTATTAGCAGCTCAGATTTTCTTAGAAGTTTCTAAGTTATACTTCATCATATGGACAAAAAAACAAATCTATCGTCTACATATTTTAACCAAGATATTTTGGTAGAATGACGAATTCAAAATGCAGCACGAATGTCTTTGCTACCACAAATAACTACAGGAGATCAAAAAGTGGCACGAATATCTTTGCTACCACAGATGACTA